GGTGCCATAAAAGGCGTCGCGATGAACTCGTTCATACGTCCATTTCCTGAGCTGTTACCTGTTCATGAGTGAAAACCAACATGTGTAAAAAGGGGGGTCGCGTTTTCTTGACGGTTTTTTCTGCTTTTTTCGCTACTGGCGTACCATTGAGCACCACCACGTCACACTGAACCCTTCTTGAATTTATCGTAATCGCTGCCTTTAATTCTGAATCCACTGAATATGAGAAAGCTCACCGTGACGGGAATTGGAGTGACTCTTGTGGTTGTTGGCGTTGCTGGTGGTAAGTCATAATTGCGTATCAGACGCGGTTCCTCATCAGAAGCACGACGATAGGAAAATTCTGAAAAGAATGAGGTATTTCCAATCAAGCATTAGGCTTATCGCTGTGAGGCTCACCTTTCTTCTCTTCCTCCTTTGCCTTCGCAGCGGCTCGTTCACTTTCTGGCACGAAATCTGTCAATTTACCTGGACCAGTTTTTTCGTGCATTGATGTCACCCTGAATGGAGTACTGTATTTGTGAGGTGTTTAAAAGTTCACCCAACAGCTGATGAGGTGGTTCCCAGATACTGTATCCCTCAGACTTAATAGTGGCCCTTATCAATATCTGGTTCTATTTTATCTACAGGCTCATTTACAAAGGCACATTCCATCTACAATACAGAGAAATAATTCAGATTCCTTTGCCTTATCAAGGTTCAGATTGACATGCCGTGCCACAATAGCCCTCTTTGACTGAAAACCAGCATCTGATCAGAAGGCCACGCCCACTTACTTGTAATCAGAAGATGGCCCGCTCGAAGTTCTGTATTAGGAACGTGTACTCGTTCTGCTCTCGAGATAACTTCGACTTGGAGAAACAGCAGCCGAGCGTTGGTGTGCTGGAAAGAATGTGCGTAAATGAAACCGACCTGGACCTATTGACCCATACGCAAAACGATGGGTCAAAAACAAGGCACCATCTTCCATAACACGCTAGAGTTGACTTGAATGAGTGAATGGCTGCAGTTACCGCA